CTGCCCGGTATATATTTGCCCGATACTCCAAACACTGATGTTTGTTCTAATCTATCGTCAGTAAGTATTAAAATATCGAATAAATGTAATTATGTCCACGAATAAATTAATATAAAATCGGATGTAATAAATATTTCAGACATTCACCAAAGCGACTAATTTGATTGTCAACAACCATCGATTTCGGTCATTCACAGTAGCATGCACATCATTTACATAATAACCTCATCAGGACGATTATTTCATACTTTGCCTAAATAGCATGCGGCATTTCAAAAAATAAAAATAATTGGTTTTGTTGGCGATGATCTCGTAAGGCGATAAAGAATCATGCATAGTACAGGTAAGGAAGATATTAACCTCGAAGGAAAAGTGGATGAATACCCCAAGGAACCAATTTTTTAATACTTAAAAACTTACTCGAATGCTGCATTATCTGGGCTCATAAAAAATTTACAAAAAATGAGAATAAGGCAGAGATTTTGATAATGTTTATCTGGGTGTGAAAATGTCTCCAAATTGGCGATTTCTTTCAAAAAGTTTAAAAAATTATAAAATATTTAAGTTATTTGTCTGTTCTAAAGCCCAGATAATTCTTTAGTGCAAGATAGTATTATATATTTTAAAATTATAGCTTTGCCTCAAGTCTAAGGCATTTAAACGGCTGCCTTTTTTATTTTGCTTTCGAAATAAGAGATTCCAAAAACCATGTTAAGCATTTTATAGAGTATATGTAGTGTTTCACCTCTATGGAATAATTCGAATTATATTGTTCAAAGAGAAGGCAACTAACAAATATGGATTCTACTGATATGTATTTTATTTTATATCCGTCGTTGAACAGCCGACCCAATTTTGAGTTTACGACTATCAACGTTCAACTCTGTAGCCTTGTAATTTTAAACCAAATCCAGAAGACAAGGGAACTTCTAGATCGAGTATTGGGAGAATTTGGCTTCATGGAAGAATTTTTGATGAAACTAACCCGCATTTGCATTGCATGGAGAGACCACCCACGGTTAGCCTGACGGCAAGGGAACTCTCACCCATGATACGTCTGCCACTGAAGATATTTTACGTCAGTGCTGTGATCAGTGCGAGCCGGTACGGAATTCGTATCGCCCATCCATACCTGCGGTTCAAATCCGGGTTACCTCATTGGGAGGCAAACGCTCTATCCCCTCAGGCACAAAGGCTCTTCATATGAATTGCAGTAATTATGAAGAATTTACTTAGAAAGAACGTGAAAATATTTTAAATTTACAATATAATTAATTAATAACAAAATAATTAGCAGGGAGAAAGTCAGTTTTTTTTTATTTAATGAAGCTGGCAGCAAATTAACTTCACAATGAAAGCGAATAAAAGTTTTTGCAATAAAAGAGAAATAAACTTGTTTTCACTGTAACATTCTATCAGTTCTGATTAAAAGTGCTATAAGTGATATTAAATGTGACTAGTGCACGTATTTTGTTTGCAAAATACTTCAGGAATTTCTGTTTTCAATTTAAATAACTGACCCTTAAACAATTTTAGTTTGAAATGTGAAATAACTAAATTAAAAAAGATGTTGAGACTCAAGGGAAAGAGAGATTAAAGATGTTTGGACTAAGAATGCTACAAAGGTAATTTATTCCAAGCATTACCTTATATTTATACTTATTGAAGGAAATCACAATTTTCAATTAAAAATCTGTGTATATTTACAAATTTAAAAATCTTCTAAAATTCAAAATAATAATAATAAAATAGAATAAATAAATAAAAATAGGGAAATAGAATAAAATAGGAGAAATATATAATCTCGTCAATAGCTCACCCGATTATAACGGACAAAATAGTGCTTTGTAATATTATGTTAATATAGCCAAAAGAACTAAAAAACTAAAATTAAAAAAAATGCAAAATAAAACAATAAATTAAAAAAGACAATAAAAATTCCAGAAAATAGAAACTCAAAATGCAATATATACAGCGAAAAGCGAGTTCAAATGTACTTTGAATATATATAAAATGTGTATATTTTTTTTAAATATTTTTGAAATATATTTTTAATAATTTTCTTTTCTTGTCATAATTTTTTATTATTTTTCATATTTTCTCAATATTTTAGCTTATTTCATGAGTTCTATATACTTGCAGCTTATGCGTAGTTAATAAAACTTAATAATTTTCTTCGTTTTTCTCTTTGTTTTTATTGTGCTATACATACATATTTGCATCTCTTCAAGCTTATTTTAGGTTTTGAAACAAATCTTAGTTCAATCTATTGTTTAGAGCTGAATAGAAGCGATTAAACTATTTATCGTCTGTTGTGACGGCAACAGATAGCTTATCTCTCAGAAAGTTGGACGGTGTGTTTAAATCATATCTTTATTGAGAAAGTCTGTAAGTCGTAATAAGGTGTAAAATGGCTAGTATTCTGCAAGAGAAAAATCTTTTACTAGTCTATTCAAAAAAATTCCTTTTTTTTACATGGCAGTTTAAAGAATCGGACATGAAACCTCGTAACTGCATTCGGAGTTGTGAGTTTCAATTAGCAAAGGGAGAAAATTCGTTTCTTGAGTTGAAATGTACTAGAGACTTAAAAGTTTACTTGAATTTATGGAAACCCTCAATCGGTGTCAAAACTGGATTGCTTACTATCACTGTTACAGACGAAGACTCTACAATTTACTGCAAAACGGTATCGAGGAATTATGTTAATGATGAAAAAGGCACAATCGATTTACTTAAAGACTTCAAAGGCCCTTTACCACCGTCTATTAAATATCCATTAGTCATCAACTGTAGTTCTAATGATTGGAATGCTGCTGTTGAGTGTAAAGATTCAGAGAACTTATCACATTCGAATAATTTACGAGAGCTTTCCTTGCATTTTAAAAAAATTCTGGATGAAACCGTTTACTCGGACATCGTTCTTAAAGTGAATGAAGACAAAATCAAAGCTCATAAATTGATATTGCAAGCTCGTTCCCCTGTCTTCCACAAGATGTTCACTCATGAAGCTGCGAAGAATCCGATAGCTATCTCAGACATTGGATCAGAAACAATGAAGAGGCTTCTCAATTTTATCTACACTGGTGCAACGGATGAATATGGCTTTGGAGAACTTACGGAACTCTACTATGCTGCTGACAAATACGAAGTGATTTCTTTACGAGATAGTTGCAAAATAAAATTGCTGAACCTTCTTCAAGTGGATAATGCGTGTGTCTTATTTGTCTTAGCAAACAGACACAGCGACGAAGTTTTCAAAAATGCAGTGGCGCAATTTATCTGCGCGAATTTTAAATCAGTGGTCAAAACAGAATCTTTTGATGAACTGAGTAAAGATGACATGAAATTTCTTACGCGTTTGTATATGAATGATATGGAAGAGTGAATACTTTGCCGATACATTTGATTTTAAAATTAAGTATATAATGACTAATTAGCCTAATTTTACAATATTTGGTGAAATATTGATGTAAAACTGCTTGTGTGTGTGTCATGGAAAAGTGAATGCATTTTGCCAATTTGATATATAATTTCAGAAAATAATTAGTGATTGCCATATTGAACGTTTTTTGTTTTAGCTTTAAAATTTATAACTAAATATATAATTTATGTTAATTTATACTATGTTAACTCATTTCAAAATGACGGTTACTTCTTTTCAGATAAGGAAACAGTGATGGTACTAGTGTTTGATTATTCGGATTTATTTTACAGAAACTAGATGGTACTATCTACCATGAGTTAATAATCTAAATATTTAGATCTAGATTTGGTTACGACGTAGTTCTTTTTTAAAAACTAAGTGGTAGGTAACAAAAAGAAAGATATACTTAGTATAAACAAATGTTTACAACCACTTTTATCATAAACCGCTTTTTGTAGCTGGGTATAGCTGAGTTAAACAATGTTGAACTTATTTTCTGTGTACTTCTGTTTTCATGGGAATATTTTTGCATTATTTTTATATACCCTACAATTACTGAATTTCCTTAGTTTAGAAAATAATTTTCTAGTGTTAATTAATATATTGTGCTAATTTTTTTTAATAAATTGAAATGAAAAGTTTTTGTTGGAGGGTATTTTTTCATACGTGCATAAGATTTTTATTTTAGTTAATCTAATAAAATGTGTGTATGTGCCAACATTTCACTGTACCATCAAAATTTAAGGGATTCACCTCAAAAAACAATTTTTTTTTATGAATGGATTCGTTCCGAAATTGATCAAGTTTTACTTTTGGAAAAGCATTTCTAAAGAATCATTTGGTCATCTTTTCATTGGAAGACTGTCCCCCCCCCCCTCTTCTCTATTTGGAGAAAGAATACAATTTGAAGGGCCTATTGATGTAATACATCAGTGACAAAATGATTTATTTCGTTGAAACTTTTTAAACCGACAAAACGTTTCAAATCAGATAGAACACTATTTTATCGTACGATTTTACCCATCGAAATCCAATCAATACAGTATTAAAATGGAGAAATCTTAGTGGGTTCATTTTTCCTGAAACTAAAATTTCATGCAAAACCTTTCTTTTTTTTCGAAAAAGTAACCTCGACTCAACTGCTCCATAAATATATCCGAATAATTTCCACGTCCCAGAATTCTAGAGCTGAAATAAAATTTCTCAGACTAGTCTTCGACGCCAGCATGAAAAGTATTAATCTCAATCTTGCAGCAAAAGTATGGAAATCTTGTACCAAAAAATTAAATTTACTTAAATTTCTTTCAAATTCTTCCTAAGGAACAGATATCAGTTCAATTTTAAAAATGCACTGCTTTCTAATACACACCAAAATAGATTTCAGATCAATAAATAATCTGTGTGTTTATCTCAAATAATTTATCTCAAATTATTTATTACTAGCCGCCTAAAGGCCTGGTTTCTTAGGACAGGACGCCGTCAGCTGGAAATCAGCGCTAACCTCTGATTGGTCCATTTGTGAGTTTGATAGTATACGTCATCGAACGCTCATTTTGAACTACAATTGCCGTCCAACTCAACTGCAGTTGGATTACAACGTGACGTTAACCACAGAAGCAATGGCGGACAACATCCAACAGCACATT